CCAAACACTCTGACCTGGTAAGTAGTTGGGAGCCGGGGTCCTGTGGCGGTCTGCGATGAGGCAGTTGCGGGCAGCGGAGCGGAGCAGGGCGGCTCGGGTATCCCTCCACACCTTATGACAGCGACGAAGGTGGGTCTCAACGGAAGGAACAGCAACCTCCTCTTCCTGGGATGGAAACAGGGGTGGTTGGAAACCCATGGCACAATGAAAGGGTGAAATACCTGTGGCTGCATTTGGCAGGGAGTTGTGGGCATATTCGATCCATGGCAGATGTGGGCACCATGACGAAGGGTTCCTGAAAGCCACACAGCGAAGAGCCGCCCCCAGATCCTGGTTGGCCCGTTCCGTTTGCCCGTTCGTCTGAGGATGATATCCAGATGACAGGCTCACTGATGCTCCCAGAGCCTGACAGAAGGCTTTCCAAACGTGGGAAATGAACTGGGGACCCCGGTCAGAGACGATGTCGGTGGGAATCCCATGGAGTCGAACAACATGATTGACCAGAAGATCTGCAGTCTCTCGGGCTGTGGGAAGCTTGGGAAGAGCAACAAAGTGTACCATCTTGGAAAATCTGTCCACAATAGTTAGGATGATGGTATTTCCTTGTGACAGTGGAAGTCCAGTGACAAAATCCAAGGCCACATGCGACCAAGGACGCCTAGGTACCGGCAGCGGCCGAAGCAGGCCAGAGGGAGATTGGTGGGAGGACTTGGCGCGGGCACATACTGTACAGGCAGCAACAAAGGCCCTGGTGTCTTGAGCCATGGAAGGCCACCAGAACCGTTGTTTTAGAATAAACAGTGTGCGATGGACACCAGGATGACAGGAGAGACGGGAGGCGTGTGCCCACTGCAGGACCTTGGAGCGAACAGGGGTAGGCACAAAAAGACTATTAGCTGGGCAGTTACCTGGGTTAGGTTGCGCCCGCTGAGCCTCCTTAACCAATGACTCAATCTCCCAGGTAACAGCCGCCACCACGCAGGAGGCAGGCAGGATAGTGTCTGGATTGGCAGCTGGTCCTTCGGAAGCGAACTGGCGAGAGAGAGCGTCCGGCTTGAGGTTCCGTGACCCTGGACGGTAGGTAAGGGTGAATGAGAAGCGGCCGAAATACAGGGCCCATCGAGCCTGACGAGAGTTAAGGCGCTTGGCAGATTGGATGTACGCCAAGTTTTTGTGGTCTGTCCATACAATAAAAGGGAGCTCGGCTCCCTCCAGCCAGTGCCTCCACTCCTCTAGGGCAAGTTTGACAGCCAGCAGCTCTCTGTTACCCACGTCATAGTTCTTCTCAGCTGGAGTGAGGCGGCGAGAGAAAAATGCACATGGATGTAATTTTTGGTCTCGTTCCGAGCGCTGGGAAAGAACTGCCCCTACCCCGGTGTTGGAGGCATCGACCTCCACCACAAACTGGCGAGAGGAATCAGGGTGGATGAGCACAGGGGCAGTGGTGAAAAGTCTCTTTAGCTCCGAGAAGGCTGCATCGCACTCTGGAGTCCAGAAAAAACCAGTTGTAGGGGAAGTGAGTCTGGTTAAAGGGCCCGCCACTCTGCTGTAGTCTCTGATGAAGCGCCGATAAAAATTGGCGAAACCAAGAAACTGTTGAAGCAGTTTAACTGAGGTTGGTTTGGGCCACCCCGCCACCGCTTGGATCTTCTCAGGGTCGGTCCTAATCTTTCCTTCCTCAACGATGTAGCCCAGGAATGAGACTGTGTTGACATGGAATTCGCATTTCTCCGCCTTCACAAAGAGTCTGTTTTCAAGGAGTCTCTGCAGCACCTGCCTGACATGGATAATGTGCTCCTCCTTGTTACGGGAGAAAATGAGAATGTCATCCAAGTAGACAAAGACTGACCGGTTGAGGAGGTCACGGAGTACATCGTTCACCATTGACTGAAAAACTGCTGGGGCATTCGTCAGTCCAAAAGGCATCACCAGATACTCAAAGTGACCGAGTGGTGTGTTAAAGGCAGTCTTCCACTCGTCCCCTTCACGGATTCTGACGAGGTGGTAGGCATTGCGGAGGTCCAGTTTGGAAAAGATGGTGGCTTCCTGGAGGGGTTCAAAGGCGGAGTTAATGAGGGGTAATGGATATTTGTTTTTTATAGTGATGGCATTGAGACCCCTGTAATCAATGCAGGGCCGCAGTGAGCGGTCCTTCTTGGACACGAAGAAGAACCCAGCACCGACCGGGGAGGAGGATGGGCGGATGACACCAGCAGCCAGGGAGTCATGGATGTAACTCTCCATGGATTTTCTCTCAGGGCGAGACAGGTTGAACAGACGTGAGGAAGGCAGAGGGGCCCCGGGAAGGAGGTCAATGGGACAGTCGTAGGGTCGATGAGGAGGAAGAGAAAGAGCTCGCTGTTTACTGAACACCTCTCCTAGGCTATGATATTCCATGGGGACAGATAACAGGTCAGGCGGCTCGATCTTGGGTGGTGGAGCGGCGGCCTCTGCTGGCGGTAGGGCAGACTGCAGGCATGAGGATAAACAAAAACAACTCCAACTAATGATTTTGCCAGTTATCCAATCAATCTGGGGGTTGTGTGTTCTTAACCAGGGATGACCCAACACTATGGGAGCATGAGGTGAGGAAATAAGGTGAAACTGAATAAACTCACGATGGTTTCCAGACAGAATGAGGTTTACTGGCTTGGTGCGGTGAGTGACTTGGGCCAGGAATTGTCCATTAAGAGCATTGGCATTAAGAGGTGAATCCAACACTTCGCAGGGAATTCCTGCCTGAGCTGCGATGTCAATGTCCAAAAAATTCTCGTCTGCTCCCGAGTCCACTAAGGCGAGCAGGGGTAGTGACTGTTGGTTGCAGCAAAGAACGGCTTCTAGCTGCGTTCTGGGTCGGGGGTTGAGAGAGGAGGAAGGGCTCGCCAGAATCCCCACAGCTACTGACGAGCCTGACCTTTTGGCAGATTAGGACAGGAGGAAACTAGATGACTGGTTTGGCTGCAATAAACACATTCCCCAGCCTGGATCCTTCTAGCCCGCTCAGATGGTGAGAGGTGGGCCCTTCCCACTTGCATGGGCTCATCTTCGGGGGGTGAAACCGAGAAAGGAGTCGGAAAGGATCTGGAGATTGGGGCAGTGGCAGTGCCAATTCGGGGATCAAGTGAGGAGTAGCTGGGATTGGGGTGACGGCTATTCCTATCCCTGCGTCTCTCTCTGAGGCGATTATCAATCTTGATAGCTGTGGCAATTAAATTATCCAAGCTAACTGGATCATCCCTAGCAGCTAGCTCGTCTTTAATTGCTTCGTTCAGCCCTTGAAGAAAAACATCTTGCAATGACTCGTTATTCCAGCCTGAGTCAGCAGCAACTGTTCTAAACTCAACTGAAAATTCGGCTACACTACGGGAGCCCTGCCGGAGAGAAAGAAGGCGCCTAGAAGCGTCCCTCCCCCGTACCGGGTGATCAAAAACTTTTTTCATTTCGGAAATGAAAGTATCAAATGATGAGCAAATGTGTGGCTGGCTCTCCCTAACGGCTGTAGCCCAATCTAGAGCACTCCCCCTCAACAGACTCATTACATATGCTACCCTAGCCCCATCTGTGTGATAAGTACTAGGCTGCTGCTCAAAGACTAACGAACACTGGAACAAAAAGGCTCTACAAATACCCAAATCTCCAGCGTATCGCTCCGGTGTAGGAATAACAGCCTCTCGTAGCTGATGGAGAGGTGCGGCAGGAGCGGGGGGAGGAGCTGTCGGCTGTGCAGCGGGCTGCGGGGGAGAAAACTGGGAGGTGAGCAGTTCCACTTGTGTGCCGATCCTTTGCACGTTAGTGGAGAGGTTCCGGAGAGTCTCCACAACCTCACGGAGAACCACGTCGTGATGCCCCACGAGAGCACCTTGATTGGCCAGGGCTTGGCTGAGTTCGTCCGCAGTCTTGGACTGGTGGCCTGTGTCCGCTGAGTCCATACTGGCCAGATCGTTCTGTTACGATATCCGATAGGACCCAAACGCAGGACACGGCAGAGTGTTGGAAAAAGGTTTATTGTGAGGTGGAGGAGCGTGGAGAGTAATCCTGTAGGAATGAAGACTGGTGAGTGTGGAGAGTAATCCGGTTGGAATGATGACTGGTGGCGGCAGGTGATGGTAACAAGGCGGCTGGATAGTGATCCTGGAGCATAAGAGAAACAGATGAGAAAAGTATTCCGTGTACAGAGAAATAGTTTTAAATCGGCTAAGAAGGCTGAGAGTTACCACTGGGGATTAAACAACGATCTGGCGCTGACATGTTGTGGAGCCTCCGCTGATATACCATTAGTAAATGGCTGAATGGGAATCAGGTGTGTAACGCTGATTGCACCAGGTGGAGATTTGCAGCAGGTGGAGATTGAGCCGGGAGCCAGGAGTGACAGCCACCACGCCCACACAGACAGGGAAAGGGAACACACACTCACAAGGGAGGTGGCTGAAGAGTAGAGCCACCACAGTGGGAGGTGTGAAAAGGTGCCGTAAAGAGACGACGGTGCGGGACACACCAACCTGAATGCCCGACTGCCTCTGACGGCCAAAATCGGGTTGGTGTGTAGCCAGCTTAACTCAAACAGGTGTACTAAGGCAGGCGTAGGAATTGGGGCACTGAGACCACGGCCTCCCCGGTGTGCATCTAGCCATTTCCAGTCAACTGTCTATTTCAATGATCTATCTGTGTTGTCTTTTCACTAGATGTATTGATGAAATAAAGAACATTTATATTAACTCTTGTTTAAGAGGAAGCATGTCAGCCTGAAATGTCAGCTAACAAAACAAGCAGTCCTACACTTTTAAAAAGCATAAAAAAGCTCTGTTAACTTGAATAAGTGCTGTACATCACACTGGTGCTCTGTCTACAGTTCACCCTGAGGTCCCCCCTGACCTCTCCCTGGACACGCCCCTGCTAGTAGGGACCCCCTCACGGACGCCTGGAGGTCCTGGACCAGGGTTTGGGAACCCCTTTATCAGCCCGTCGTCCCTGCACCTCCTCAGCAGTGAGCACAGCCTCGCTTGAAGGGGGAGGAGCAGGCTGCGAGGCGCTGCTCCGTGTTGGTGTTTGTTGTGTGCGAGGGAGGCAGCACTGTGGGGAGAGCGACACAATGTGAACGACTGACTGGCCTGCCTCCACGCATCTTGGGCAATGCTTTAACTTTCCCTCCGAAAACGCAGCTGAATGGTGAATATTTCCGGTGATTTGTGGCCGTGTGTCGCTGTGAGACACCGGGACATATGGCTGTGAGGTCGCTTCGTGCTGTGCGCAAAGACTCGCTCAGGATGCTGGAGCTCGTCTGAGAGCACCCCGCCGAGCCGTCTTTCTCTGGATTTTTCCCTTTTTTTTTTTTTTTAAACGTAGCTCTCAATCGTTGACTCCTTCTTTATCCTTAAACTTCTAAAGATGTCGTTCTTAATCTTGTTCTCGCCTCGCAACAAACCTGGATAACGAAAGGAGTAGCTACGTGACAACACCCAGCACGACGACCAGCGGTACTTTCCTTCGGTGAGCAGCGCTTCAGCTGCGGCTTCAGCGGGCAGAGAGACGATGTGAAGCCGCGGTGTGTAGTGTCATTTGGAAAAGCACATTAAACATTTTATTTTAGCCCCTCTTAAGGTGGGAGAGTCGAGTTAAACAAGTGAGGGGGTTTAGTTATGTCGGCGGAGTGTTTGGCCAACAAGCTAGCTTTTAATTGTAAAGTTGGTGCTAACATTAACTAACCAGTCATTTCATTAACTTGCTAGCTGTGTTAGCATAGCAACACTTTAGATTGATTTGCTATGAAATGCTAACATGTTGCCTGCTAACAGGGCGCTTTAAGCTAAGTTATGAGGGAGCGGCATGTGAAGTTATTGCTAAGTAAGCTAACGTTACATTAGCTAAACTTGCTGTACCGACTCTGTGTGTAGCTTCACATCGGTGGTGAAAAGTAACTGAGTACATTTTCTCAAGCGTCGTACTTAAACAGTAACAGTGTATGAGTAGCACTTACAGTTACTGCTTACTTTATACATAAAAAAAAACACATGATATGCTGATATGGTATAATGCAGTACTGTACTACTTATACTACTTATCTTCACAGTGGTCCACATTGACCAACCACAACACTCAAATTAACTTACATGTTAAAAAAAACCAAGATAAAAAATAACAACCATAATAAGTTCCATTCTGCAAAACGAGTTATTTTTTACTTTTTGTGCTTTTAGTACATTTTGATGCTTATACTTGTACTTAAGTAACATTTTGAATCAGGACTTTTACTTGTAATGTAGTATTTTAAGACCATATTACTTTTCCTTAAGCAAAGGATCCGAGTACTTTAAACACTGCTACACATCACTTGAGGTTAAATGAGTCTTACACATCAGATGTGGTGTAAGTGTTAGACACACACTGCTATAGATGTTGGTAAGTTATGATTAAAAACAGGAAGTGGGAATTGTCACTTCATCCACCCCTATTCACCCCAGGCCTCTGTCTGATAATTTGTGACCTTAGCATGTACACTGAACTGGTTTATTTTCTCCACAGAGGCACATCTGCCCCGGGATTTATTCAGCTGTGGAGATTTGAATCAGCAATTGATGCATCTCGGGGTGTCTGAGTCCATGAGAGAGTGCGAGTACAGCCAAATAAGCACTCGCTGCTCCACGCCAATGGAGACCCCGTACAAGAAAAGGACCCCAAAGAGGAGGAAGTGGGAGTCTTTCCCAGGTCGGAATAAGTTTTACTGCAATGGGAGGCTTATGATGGCCAAGCAGACAGGGGTGTTCTACCTCACCCTTGTACTCATTCTAGTGACTTGTGGACTTTTCTTCACTTTTGAGTAAGTATTGTTGAAGAATATGTTCAGACATCCTGTGCTCCCATCTGCTATTTACATGTGCACGTTGACATTGTGGATTAGGGATTTCATTTCACAGGCTCAGCTGTCAGAGGAAAAAGTTTGGGTCAGTTATGTCATTCACATCACTCTGGAGCGGGTTTATTTCCCATGATCTCTCCAGGGCTCAGGGAGATGCCAGAACAAACTGGTTGGGGATTAGGCAGAGACGTCTCTGTTTTAAGAATTCATATATAATATAGTAATATAAAGTAGCCAGGGGCTGTTGCTGATGGGTACTAGTCTGTGGTGTGGATTTCCTTTTTTAATATCCTACACTTTACACCCGCCCTTACATTGTGTTTTTCTCTCCAAAAAGGCTCAAGCAGTCTTCTGTTCTATATTAACTGGATCTGTGAATATGGAAATGGGCAAATCTTTGTAAATATCACAATTGGATCTGAAATCGATTCATGATTCAACTCCAAGGAGTGCTTTTTTAAAGATGTACTCCATTCAGCTGTTTTCATATAAAGACTGTGGTGAGTAGAAGTATAGAGTTGTTATTTTTAAATAAGTACAACTTATTGATATAATGTTAACGCAAAAAGGCAAACCTAAGACAAAAAGTACGATTTATTCATGCAAACATTTCAAAAAAATCATTGTACACAACATAGCACTGTTACTGGTATTTTGGGTTAGATTTGAACAAATGATCAAATAATGCTTGACACAACTTTGACTTGGCGTTAGGGTTCCTGTCTACCAAATACTTTTTGGAAGTTGTATATCAATTCAGCATCTGATAAGATAAGAATCATGATTCTTTCATCATTAGTATTTTCCTCCCATCCCTAACATATCATTGTTGTCTTGGCATGCTGGCCGTGCAGTTAGTCCCGTTAGTAGAAAGTCTTGTCTTACGACCACCGTTGGCAGCATTAACTTTGTCCCCGAGCCAGATTTTGAGAAGTTGCTGGGCTGCTTTACTGAAGATAACTCGGATGTCCAGGAATGAAAGTATATTGTTGGGTAATTTGATCTTTATAGTGACAACATGGTAATTTAGAAGAGGGTCACTCTACACTTTTTGTTTCTCATCGATATCAAATCAGTCACCTGTGACATATGGAGTAAACACACAGTGTCAGTCTGTCGATGTGTGCCGTTTGCACTCTGTTAATCACAGCCCCACCATCCCCAGAGGAGCCCTCTGTCTTTTCCTCACTGGTAAAACTTCCTGTAATCAACAGACAGAATGTTCTTCACCACACTGTCTCTTCATGCCCTTTATCTCCACCTCACTCAGGATGTCCCAGATTGGCCCACTGTGAGGTGCAGCGTGTAGAGACTGACATGAGCCGCACCATGAGAGAGAGAGTGTTGTCTCTGCTCATTAATCCTGAGTAATCACTCTGTGTCATCTATCATCTTAAGAAACCCCATCTATACTGGATAAGAATCCTGCTCCATCATGAGATTTGTTGCTCAATCGACAGTCTTTATCAGGCTAAAGTGCTTCAGAGCCAGGGAAAGCTTAACAGGCAAAATATGTGCTGTGGTTGATGGCTGCTGTTCAGTATCTGGACTGTAAAGATAGCCAATACTTAATGATCCAGGAGTAAATCAAATAGTATGCACAGAAGCACTTTTGTAAACAAAAGCATTCCTTATTGTGATGTTTGTGTGCAAAAACACAGTGCCCTCATGAGGGAGGGGAGGGGGTGATATGTACATTTCATATCACAATCATCCTGACTAAAGACTTGCAATGTCATCAGAGTAATCATCCATATGAACATCAAAATATACTGGGGAAAAAAACAAAAACAACCTTCAATAAGGTAATCCCATTGAATAAATGAAGGATTCAAAATGTACATTTGGAGTCGGTTCCTTACATGTTAATTCCTGTATTATTTTTAAATAAGGCTCTATTTTTTACTTCTCTCCGAGGATAGCCACACATTTTAAGTCACTCGTGATGCCATGATTTGATTTTTAATTAGTTATTGCTAAAACAATATGTGGTAATGAATCCATTCAATGACGGAAAAAGAATCCCAATAATGTTGATAATCAGCATTGTTTCTACTTAAACAAAAACAAGAAGCATTCTTTGGTTTCAGATCCTCCGAAATGAGGAACTTCTGCTTTTTTTCCTTGTGAATTAAATATCCTTTGGATTGTTAGTCTGTCAAAAGCACACTTAGAGATTCTTTGTCTTATTCCAAACCAGCACCAGTTTGTGTGACATTCTCCACAGACACACTCCTACATGTCTATCAGCAGTGACCTCTGGACCACTTCATCTTTCAATATATCGTCACCTCAGCACAGATACAGACATAACCCATGACCAAAGGGCAGACAGCAGGACAGAGTGCATCTCAGGCTAAATCTTCCAACCCACTTTGCTATTGAACAGTTGACATATTGTGATAGTGGGAAATGTACTGCAGTGTCTATTTGAACCTGGATGTTCCCCAGCACCCACACGGAGGATGCCAGATGCTTCCTGATGATACCTCCTCCCTCCCAGATGAATATCCGACACTGTGTCCCGTCAACAGAGCTGGGCCCACTGCACTGTTTGTTGAGACTACAGGGGACACAAAGCCACTTTTCAGCTTAGCCCTGTTCAACTGTCCGTGCCCTGAGGCTGACCGAGTCCTCCTGGCTCTCCTCTCCCCCCCACCCACCCCTCTATACTCCCATCAGCTGAAAGGAGACATTTATCAGACAGGGCGATAGTCAGCAGACCTGCACATTAGCTTCTGTTGTCATTAACTGTAATGCATTTCGATTAGATGTGTTTTTCTTACCCTCCAGTTGTCAGCGTAGTAGAGTACAGCTCCTCACTCTGTTTGTGAGGGCTTCTACTGTCTGTTGAATTGCCTTTGCATCTTATTATGGTATTTCAAATTAGGCTGTGGTGTGATGAACTCTGGTCCATAGCGGTTTTAGAGGTGGCACTCTGATCTGTGCAGCAGGAGTCAACAGATGGCCAGTATTCAGGGATGGAGACGGGCACAGAGATGTCGTTTCTACATCTCCATGTTTCCTTGAGATTGTTTTCTTGGTCTGTCTGAGGGGGCTCAGACATGCACAATAAACTCTGTTAGTGGCCGGCAGACTTAGCCCTGTTTATTATTCTGATGCTGGATCCCCGCAGACGTCCATGCGTGCTGTTGTTGCACATGTTGCCTGGTCTCCCTTATGTCTTGTGAAAGTTCAGCCAGATGTTTGAACAGTGTGGTCTTCTGATATGCTGTGTTGTTTGATGTGATTTCAAGAACCAAACATTTGAGCAGAGAGAAATTATAACTTTTCTCAGTTACAGTTGAACAGCCTCTTAAATGTCAAGGTTTGCTTATTTTCTTTGTCACATTTGACTTGACTGTCTGTCACACAACAGGAAAAGTACTTTTAAGCGTCATTGTCACCCTGAAGACCTGTTGCTCATATCATTTGATTAAAAAACACAAACATTAAAGTCTGTTGTCAGGAGATCAGGGCAGCACTTACACTGTCTCAGTGTAACAAGAATAGGTGAGGCTTTGATTAAATCTGCATGTTTAGCCACATCTTATGTCCTTTTGTAAAGCTGCCTTGGAGTGAGTGGTGCCTGAAAGGCTTAATTCAGGGTTAAAGTCTTCCTCTGCACAGATCACAACAACATTGCTCAGCATCCATCCATGTTTATTTTCAAAAATAATATATCTGCTGGTAAATAATTGTTTAAAAACATTTTACTCGCATCAAGGTTTTTAAAAATACTCACATTTTTCCACAAAAAAGGTTTTCATTTAAATCTAAAGCTTTTAAAAGCAACTGCAAAGAATACTTTAATTAAAACTGATTTATTAGAAGCTGTGAAACCCACTTGTTCTGGCTGTTGGGGGATTGATTAGAAGAAAGCCTGACTCATTTCAGAAAAACTGGAACTGGCAGGTGGCTGCTACAGAGATCCCCTCATAATAGCCATCAAATACTTTAACTCTTAAAGAAGACTGACAGGTTCCCACTTTGCAAACTAGCATCCACTTAACATTAGGGCTGTACCCGAATATTCGTTCGTTGGAGTACTATTCGGGTTTCAATTTCGTTATTCGTATTTTTCGTTTTTTTTGGGAGCCACGCTGCACTGCGGCTGCCAAATTGAATTGATTGAAATCTCCAATATCAACGTAAGAGCTTGTGCCTCTTCGGGGGGTGCTAACACTTAACCATAAACTTTATCGTTTAATTTCTCCGTCTTTATAATCGTAGATATGACTTTTCTCCGTTAATCTCCGTCACGTTGTTTCCATAGCAACATCAACTTCCTGTCAACAGCGCTAACTCTCCTTCGAAATAAAAGCATGTCCATAAAAAATAGGAAGCCTTGCCAAATTACACTTAAGACATATACAACTGCAACGAAAGTAACAAACACAATGCAATATCCTTTTCAATTTCAAAGAACACAAATTGGGTTACATTAACAAATAACTATAAAACAACAATACTGTAGAATAACAAAATGAATGCCGTGAATAAACCGAAATACACATGTTGAAGCGGTTCACTGCTGATTACTATACACCCCCCCCCCCATATTTCTAGAGATGCTTGATGAGTGATCCACTTAAAGTGTTCACTCTGTACCCACTGCTTTGATGAATATGTACTTGTTTTATAAGTCAAGCCTCTTTAATGACTGAATGTGTTGGGTGCTCTCTGCTCACTCCCTTTTTGCACCTGACTAATTCCCATCTGCTTTTGTCCTAGTCATTATTCTGAAAGGACAGAGATAATACCTGAATGTGTGCATTCTATAAAAACCTCCTGAATACATGATTAAGATCAACTAAAAGCCAAGACATTTAAACATTAACAAAAACTGAGGATCTTAATTTCACCAGCTCGTTTAAATCGACACAATAACATACCTGTCTAAATAAATGTAAACGTGTATTTGTGCCGGTTCAACAACTACCATGATGATCATTCCACAA